GGCTTGGCAGCGGCGCTGGGATCGTTGTGTTCACTCCCAGGGGAACTACTTCGAGGGTGATGGATGAATTTAATACCTGAGATAAGTGTACGGGTTTTTATACGCGCAGTCTTGAAACCTTTCGATCGAACCTCGTAGATCTGCCCAAGAGGTAGTACATACTCTCATGACTGCGTACTGAGTTTTACAACGAATGCCAAATAATTCTGCGTTTCACTAACCTCTCCATGACAACCTGCAGCGCCTGATACGTTGTGCCCCTGTTTACTGTTTCCCGGAGAGAACGCGTCTGTATCTCAGGATATTGTCTTAGAAGACTGAAGTTTTGTGGGGTCATGTACTGGAACTGGAAGTTAAGACCCAGCGTCAAGATTCTCTTCGGTTGGTCCACAGGTATTCCTACTCCCACGATAAACTAAAAATTATGAAATGAAAAATATTAACCAAACGAGGTACAACAAAGAAGTCGGGGTTGTGTAAACATTTCAAATGCTGCTAATGATTTACACGCCAGAGTTACTTATTAGAGCAGAGTCCTTCAGAAACGGATAGTTACTGAAAATTATAAATTCCATCGTTATGTAATTTTCTCCTGCGTCCTGTTACTTCCTATTTGGTAGGTTCTGTACAACCTCTTCAGCATTCTGTTCTCTCACCTACTATCAGTGTCCTTCCCTCAGGTTCAGAGACCACTTTCACGTTCATTAAACAGAACAGGCAAACACAAATATAAGGCATATTTACGGTTATTTATAATGAATGCTTTTTAAAATTTCATAGTGCCAGTTACTTAATGACCAGATTAAAATCTGGCTTCACTAAAAGTTCCTTCCTTGTATTGAACACTCAACCTTATTTGTACGGAAATTCAAGAGCCATATTTTGTTACAAAAATTGTATCGATTTTTATTCATTAAGAAGAGTCAACGAACTTGACCTAACTTCCAATTTGCCTTTTCTTTATAGAACGTCTTTCTTTATATAAGTTGCGCTATGAAAACAGCACTTGTTAAAGATACTTTATTTATAATTTAAGTGCGTATTAGAACGAGTGTTTATTTATAATGACGAAACACCATCTATACCTTGCATATACCACCCTTTGGGTACACTAAAGTACGAGGTCCTCTGTGAGCTAGTACAGGACACCAGATAAACAACACTGTCGCCATAATCACCAAATGTATGAGACGAGGCACACTGAAAAAAAGAACACATCTCGTAGGAAAGTTTTCTTCTATTAAAAACATATTTTCACTTGTAAGACTTGAGGTTCTCACAGCGGTGATGAAGATTTCTGTCTTCTGGGTTGTTGCGCTGTGTAGTCTGGTAGATGTTAACCAACGTTTCAGAGGTCATACTGCCTCCGTCATCAGGGCGCCCTGATGACGGAGGCAATATGACCTCTGAAACGTTGGTTAACATCGACCAGACTACACAGCGCAACAACCCAGAAGACAGAAATCTTCAGACT